CTCTCTCCAGTTCCTGTGTTTGGATTACTGTGTAAAACCTGTGGTACTGCTAAGCAACCTTTTTTTACCGATTAGGCTCCAGTCTCTGGTTTAGGCTTTTCTGACACAATACTGGGTACAGCTTCTGTCTGGGGCCCCCAGACACTTTGAGTCCTTCTGAGATTTCCCTCCCCCGCAACTTTCTATTCCTTAATGTTTTCAAACTCCTGTTCTGACTTCTGTCTCTTTGTCACCTCCTGGAGGTTTTCCAGTCCTTAGGATCCTAGCATTCTCCAGGCAGACTGGAAAGGCTTGTTTTCATCTAGGTTGTAGCCTAAGCCATTGTTCTGTTCATCTGAGGTCTATTAAAGCCACAGGTATTAAATATACAGCCTGTGGGCTAGATTGGTTTTTGTTTGTTTGCTTGGGTTTTTTTTGTCAGAAAGCTCAAGGATGGAAACTTTAAGGAATCAGATCCTTTTTGTGAAATTCTTCATTTAGTCTAACACCCAACTTTCCAGCCAAAAAGAAAAAAAAAGGGTTTCAATACAAGATTGTTTAATGGGTAAATAAGATAAGGTGATTTCAAAGAACAGATTGCCAGTCTTACCAGAGCTCCCGAGACAAAGTCCACTCATTGTATGGAATTTTCTTTTTCAGCGAATTTGACTATATGTGTACATTTGCTTCTGGTAAAACATTTGTTTTTAATGATAATAACACTGAATGTGAATAGACTACATTATTATCTGCAAAGTAGATATAGATGTGACCCATGTACCTTTCTTAAAGAGGGTGCAAAGAAATTAATATACTTAGTTTATCTAATGCATTAGCTGCTACTTAAAGAAGAAAGTCTAGAATTTGCAGATGTCCTTTAGAAGCAGCTGTTGGTAATGTGCACTTTTAAAATGTAAGTGTTAAAATCACTGGATATTTTTAAGACCCAGGTCTAGATTTTTAACTTTTCTTGTTAGTATATGAGTATTTAACCTGCTTCACAGTTCTTGTGTAAACAAATTGGATATAAACAGGACCACTCCTGTGCTTGTGTCTTCACAGAAAAAGGTCCAATTTAATGCAAATCAGCAAACTTACTATTTTAGCATTCTCCCATGTTGCTCCCAGCCCAGATAAGCAAACAAATTCTGCTGTAGACCCACCCATCAGCCTTGACAAACGTTGACAGAAACGGTTTCCAGGGCAACAGCAAAACCCATTTGTAAACCTCGCTCTTCGCTTCTTGCCCGTGTACCAACTAACTGGGTCTACAGAGACAAGCACATTTAAGACAAATAGGAATGTGCCAAGCTGCAAGGAATGAAAACGCTTAAACCCAATTAAATTGACAGGGCCTGGCCAAGATTTCTATGAATGCGTTGTGGCCAGCTCATCCAATTAAATTGCATGACTTCATTTCTTTTTACTTGCTCGCTGAATGTCACCAGGCTGATGGTAAAGTGTGAATTGTCACAAACAGTTTCCACCTTAGCAAATATGACACCAGCATAAATACACATACACTTACACACAGTGCAAAGTGTCCAAAACTCACCTTGTGCTTGACACTTGGTTTTAATGTTAATGTCAACAATAACAACCAAAATAATCCTTCAACCTAAGCTGCTTTCTTAGTTTGTTTTTTTGGTTGTTTTTTGTGGGGTTTTTTTGCTGTTTCCTTCTGTGCTGGCCCTTCTTATCCCTCTTTCAGGGAATCAAATCCTTTTTTGTGGGATTAATTGGCTCACCTGATCCAGTGGGTTGACAGAAATATCTCCTGCCTTGGTGCAAGTTCCTAGCGGAGCTTTTTTATATAGTGCCCTTGACCTTAGTACAGCTACTCACATACAGCCACTGATATAGATGCTTCAAAGACTGCATTAAATTAATGCATACTAGGTCATTTCCATGTGAGGTGAATGGCAAATAGACCAGTCAGTAAAAAGACAGGGATAGCAAAATTCAAAGTTTTGGGGTGGGGGGGTGGGGGTAAGGACTGTTTTCTTGCCATGTGTATGCACACTGACGAACACAAAGGCTTGCCAATCTAATAGCATCCAACCTAATGGCATTCCAATGTGTTAATACACTAGACATAAACAATTACAATAATAAATGTGCATCCCTACAGAATGCTTTAGTGATCAGTCTGGAGGATCAAGGGCCAAGATTCAGTTTTGTTTTCAGATGCAGCTACATTTAGGCATCCCAGCACTTAAAACCTAGCCACCTCAGTCTGAGCAAACACTCTGAACTGGCCACACATAGGTGCCTACGATTGCTGTACAGGCAATGGGGAGAACAAGATGCTCTCTGCAATGTGATCCAATTCTTTTCAGGGTTAGGCATATGGAGTGATCAGAAGGACTTGGTTCTCCATGCCCATGAGAGAGGATTAGAAGGCTGTGCTATAGGGACAACAGTAAAGAATGGACGGCCGCTGGTGGGGGGTAGATGGCAACTCAAAATAGAGCTGCATATCTGTCTTACCCTCTCACCTACAAGGCACTTAGGCCTCTTTATAGAGTGGATAAAGAGAGGTAGGGCAAGGGGCGAACTAATGTTTGGAAGAACCTGGAGATAGTTAAGTGTGTGTGTGCGTGTGTGTGGTGGGGGAGTGGTTTGTGGGTGTGTGTGTGTGCATGTGCTCATGTACGTGTGTATGTTGCTCTCTGCAGAGACTTATGCATCCCCAGTTGACTTGCATGGTGGAAACTGGGGACTTGGGGTCCAGGTCTTTCTCAGCCTCAGGGTATTCAAAACTACATCTTGTGCCTTCTCAGATGAACAGCAGTCTGGTCAAGAGAGACACTTTTTACCCTGCCAGTTGATACTGGACCACTGGGGACAGCAAAGAATTTAAGTCATGGGACCAGAAAGAGAGCAAGTGAGAAGGAGCCTATTGATTATGGCACTCCTTTGGGAGGGGAAGTCCTACATTTCAGCACATGCTTCCAGGATTTGTCTTTTTTTTTTCCCTAATTAAGGATTGCTTAATAGAAGGGAACTCTGTACACATTTTCCATGAGACACTCCTTGGTTAAAAACAGAAATAACTTTGGCAGAAGGGAGTGAAACAGAGAAATCATTCCTCCCTGTATACTGTCATAACCACTAAGCTACTGAGTCATGCTCCCTTTTAATCTTTCTCCTTCTGGCTACCACCACCACTGGTGTGTTTTAGCTAAATTCAATGCTGAATTTAATGGCTGTCAATGCCAGTTAGGCGTGCTCAGAACATGCCTGGCACATCAAGAGTTTCTGGACACTTCAATATCTTTCCCCCGCCATACGGGACCACGAGAGACCATATGTGGGAATGAAGCCTCTCAGTCAGTGGTTTTCAACCTTTTTTCATTTGTGGACCCCTAAACAATTTTGACTGGAGGTACAGACCCCTTTGGAAATGTTTAATGGAGGTGCGGACCCCTTTCAATTGTAAGTGTGGATATTCACATACTTTTGATTGATCATAGTAATCTTTTGCAGACCCCTTAGACATAGCCTGTGGACCCTCAGGGGTCCATGGACCACAGGTTGAAAACCATTGCTCTGAGTGATGAAACTGAATAGCTTCTAAATGTGCTCAAGCACAGGTGCCTGTGCAAGTTTGTTGTCCAAACAGAGGGTTGCCCAAATTTCAAAGCCTACTGTGTTTTGTGACTTGTGGAACAGGGTCAAACTGGAACAGTCTTTGGATCTGAGATACCACCTTTCACCTATGTCCCATTTAGGCATCTCTAAAACCAGCTGGAATGGACCATAAATATAATGTTGTTCTGCTTTAACACTTTTTTCCCTTCAAAAAGAATGATGAAGATTGCACTTATACGCAGATTTGGCATATAATTGAGCCCCTGACCTTTTCACCATATCATCTGTTGCAGATATTGTAAGCATATTGTTCTAGAATATTGTCAAATATGAGGACAAAACTTAAAGTTCCTAAAATTAAAAATATGGAGTTAACTTGTATTCAGAATTACCTTATGATCTAAACAAGATAGCACGTACTATAAAATATCTTCCTATGGCCCATTCTAGTATGTATGTTTATTGAATACAATTACTTCACATTACACAGGCTATGTACATACACACAAATATTTGGCCTCTTCCATATACACATATTACAGTTAAACTGCACCCTAAATAAGCTCAGTTTTTACATGGTGCAATCCATAGTATTAGTCAATCATGTATATGTGACTCAATCATCAAAATGAATAGGAGGCAAAAAATAAAATTAAAATACAATTGCAGTTGGAAAATCATATACATAAATGGAAGTAATTTGAAAGGAAAAAATGGTGAGCTTTGCTTGGAAGAATTCCTAGGCAAATCTGGAATGTCTAGAACGTGGCAAGACAAGAATAAATAATACAGAGCCCCAGCAAGAACCATGCTGATAGGCCATTGAGCTCAGACAAGGACATAATGTTAGATCAGGGGTCAGTAACCCCTGGCATGTGTGCCAAGCATGGCACGCAAGGCCATTTTGCTCAGCATGGCACCGCCAGCCTAGGCTCTTAGGCAGATGCTGCCAGCCACGAAGCCTGGGCTGCTCCCAGCAGGGGCTGGGCGGCTGCAAGCCCTGCTGTAGGCAGACTGTGGTTGGCTGGAGCTACCCAGAGCCTGGGCCCATTGCAACCAGGAGGCTGCAAACATCTGCTCCAGGCTCCGGCATTAGCTCCATACCGGTGGGTGCATGGGCGCCTCGGAGCGGATGGTGGGGGAGCAGCCTGAGGCAGTGGAACCCCGACCTCTTCTCTGCTGCCAGCACAGAGCTGATGACTGGACTCCAGAGCCTGGCGCAGGTGTTTGTAGCCAGCCTGGGCTCTGGGCAGCTGCAGCAAGCAGCAGGCAGGCTGCAAACAGCTGCACCAGGCTCCACAGCCCTGGCATCAGCTCCATACTGGTAGCAACTGTATGTGCACCTGAGAGTGGACAGTTGGAGGGCTGTGCTGCCTCAGGCTCTATACCCACTGTCCGCTCTGAGGCGTGCGTGCATCCGCTGGTATGGAGCTGATGCTGGAGCCTGGAGCAGCTGGCCCAGGCTCTGGTAGCTGCCGCCAACCATGGAGGCCAGACTGCTTGCAGCAGGGCTTGCAGCTGAGCCCACCTGACTCTCACCCACTCCAAACCCAGCTCCAGCCCAGCCCACCCCCTCCCATGATGAGGCTGGTGCTGCCCCTTGCCAGGAGCACTGCACCTTTTGTGAGCTTAGCTGTGTGGGGTGGGTGGGTGGTTGAGCTGATGGGCAGGCTCCAGGCTTAGCCAGCTGCGCTGCAGCCCGGGGGCTGGTTCCTTGGGGAAGCGCAGGGACTCTGGTGGGACCAGGTCATTTTGGGTTGGACTTTGTCTAGTGGCCCAGGAGCCCAGCTCTGTGCACCCGCGTAAGTAGTTCTGTGAGTTTGTCTGGCTTTGTGAGTCTGTGTGCACACACATGTGTCTGGTTCTGGATGTTTGTGTGCATGTCTGTTCTGCGTGTGTTCTGGTTCTATATGTTTGTACACGTGGTTCTCTGTGGGTGTGTGCGTGTGTCTGGTTCTCTCTCTGCTCTCCTTTTTCTTTCTCTCTTTCTCTTTCTCTCTCTTTCTCTCTCCTCTTTCTCTTATTTGTCTCTTTTTTCTCTCTCTGGCATTGCAACATGCTCAACAAAAAAGGAATACACAACAACAAAGGCAACATTTATGATTATTACATATACTAATATGCAGTGCATCCTGCCATGTACCCCCTCCCCCCACTTTGCTTTTCTGGCATGCTGGCTCTCCGGCACAAGGTAGACATTGTGCTTTTTTCGGCACGCCGGACAAAAAACATTGCCTACCCCTGTGTTAGATGTTGAGCTGTTCGCGCAGGTTTCATGGGCCACAGGTTGAGGCAGCAGCAGTTGCCAATGAGGAAAATTGCTGGCAGGGAAGTGGCAACAGTGGCTGAAGTGAAGGGAGGGGAATGAAAGTGGCTGAAGTAGAGGGTGGTTCCAGTTGCTGCCGAGATTCACATACACGCCCCCACACAAACCTGGCGGTACACCTCAGAACTTTGGAAATGTCATAGGGGCACAATCTGATCTCTTCAATGGTGATATATTTTCTTGAGAGACTACCCTGACTTTAGCTCTAGATTTCAACCATTGACAGAATCCAGCCCATTTGACATTTTTAAGTGAAATTGACATTGTGAAGGTCACTTGCTAATGTTAATTTTATTTGTTGTAGATATATGAAATAAAAGAAGAAGCAGGATGTCTCGAGAAGCTCTCTGGTATTTGGAACAAATTTACAGAACCTTTGCAGCCCAAGGTGCCACAACAAAATGCCACCAATATGAAAAGTCTGTCGTATCCCTTTTCCAGAGAGAAAATATATTTGTGAGTATTTTAAGATGCAAACTTCGTTTAAGTTGACTGTAAAATGCTCTTGGCTATTTTCTTCCTAACCCAAAGTCTGTACTTTAGCATTTGAATTATATTCAGATACCTCTTGGCATATCACATGTTTTGTTTCCTGAGGTGAACTTTGGGGCTTCAAGTCCATATCTTTTGTTTTGGCTGCATTCTGATGTCCTCTGTGATGCATGTAGTCAGGCTGGGATGGAACTACAGGGTGTATGGTGGTGCGGCTGCACCTCACCCTTCTGACCATGTGCCAGGAGCAACAGCCAGGGACTTGTTTAGGTCCTGAAGAATGTAAGAAACCCCATCTCCCTTTCCCTTCATCCTCAGAAGCATGACCCCCCTCCTCTCTCTTCCCCACCCCTCCCATCCTCCCTTCCCCCATCTGCCACTACCAGTGTCCCCACTGTTCCTGCTGTCCTGGGGAAAGGGGGCTTGTGTCCCACTCTAGCTGGGCTGTGCTGGGGATGGGATGAGCCTGGGATAGCAGGCAGAGGGGAGCAGGCAGGTTTCTCCTCCCCTTGCTTGCTCCTGACCTGGCAGGCAACATTTGTGGGAAGTAGGCAGGGATGGGGATCTTGCCCACTGCTGCTGCTGCTGCCACTCTCCCAGGCTGAGCGCAGCTCCTAAGCAGCATGGCTGGGGCAGGACACTAAATCGCCTTGCCTCTAGGACAGTGAGGGCACTAGCACAATAGGTGAGGGAAGGGGAAATGTGAGGGGAGAGAAGAGGGCATGCCTTTGAGCATGGAAGGGAAAGTAAGGGAAGGATGGGGATTTTTAACCTCTCTGAGAATTAAAAAAGCCCCCTGCTGTTGCTCCCATGGCACAGTCTGCCCACCCCACTGGTGGTGGGGGAGGAGGGGGGAGGGAGCTGGGAGTGGGAGGTGCTCTCACCCCTGCAGTACCCATCACAGTGCTCCTGTGCTCCTTCTGTAAAATCTGGGAGCCACCCCTGTATGTGCTTGGATGTAAATGAAAGTTGCGTGTCTAGATCTGAAAGCAGGTTTCCCCTTAGGGGATCCTTTCTGGCAAAGTGAAGGTCATCTTATATTGTATAAGTATGTCTGGCTGCTAGCTTAATCTAGATAACATGATGAAGAATTCTAATGAAGATGTGGTGGCAGGGATTGGCAATCAGAGTACAAATTCTCCAGGAACTTTTTGTACACAACTTAGTTGCTAGCACATGCTAAAGTCTGCGTTGCCATGTCTTCATTGCTATTGTCACCCATGTTTACCTTGCTATCTACACTTTGCCAAAATGTTGGTAAGTTGGAGAGGAATCTAAGAGCCTTGACACATAATGCATTCACACTGGCGTTAAAAATGGAGCAGGCAGATGACATACAGCTCCATGTTATTGTACCTTACTTAAATCTGGTGTAAAATTAACCCAGGAAAAAGCAGGGGTATAGCTACGTAGATGTTGGTGTCATCTGTTATCCATTTTTCTGTTCATTCAAGGCAAGCAGGCAATTATTACCTGCTCCCCTGTCACTTAGTGGAGAGGTGCTGTAAAAGCCCCTACTGCATGCAGCTGCCCTAGGATAGCTATAGGTCAGTGCACTGACCACCTGGTATAAATTACAGTGGTAAATAATATTACCAGTGTACATGTATCATTGGTCCATACCCTGTATTCACTAATTTTCACCATTGCTTCCCCTCATTACAACATCTTCTGGGTTCCTTTCACCTTTCAAACACGGAGCCTGATTTTCCTCTGGCCTATTCAAATGTGTGCAATTTAGGAAGCGTTTCATTAAAAGCAGTGGGGCTATGCTGGTATAAGTGATAGGAGAATCAGACTCCGTAGAGTGCTTGCTCAGTCCAGATAAATGTTATGTAACTTGGGCATTCCCCTTTTACCCCACATTGGAAACTGTGACTCAATATAACAGAGGGTGAATTGGTATAATTTATAAAAGAGAGGAATGTCTTAAGAAAAGCAGCTGAAAAGATAGTGAAAGATATGCCATCTTCCACTCTAAAAGGAACCTTCTCTAAGTCTCTTGATGCAGTTACACCGATGTAGAATATTTTACATATACGTGCAGGTAAGCATGAGTAAGTAGGTTTAAAAAAAGCACAGTCACTGAGATTTAATTTGCATTATTACATTATAATTTACATTTCATTTTCCTTACCTAAAATTAATTTACATTTGGCTACTGTTTTTTTCTTAACTCTGCCAATGATACCTTCTAACCTGCATAATACATAGTCTTCCTGATGCATTAAAATTTACATAGAAATCAGAAAGATTATGGTAAAATAAGGGGGCTACATTAAAGTATCCATACATCTGTTATTTCATACATTCCTGTCTCACCGTTGTTCTGTTTAAGCGGCTGGGTTTTTTAAAAATTTTTATCTGAATGCTCAGCTAACAAAGATCCTGTTGTACACATTTCAGATGGATACTAAACCAAATTGTTGTACAATCCAATTTTCTCAGAGCATTTGTGAATGTATAATTGGTCGTCTTTGTCTCTCCACTTTTAAGGTACAACATTAAAGACAAAGACACGTTTTTTGACAATGCTACCCGCAGTCGAATTGTAAGTAAACATGCAGCATTATCATTGATAGATCCTTTTGTGCTTGATGGCATCTGCTTCACCAGTGAATGCACTTGGCTCCCTTTGCTTGTTTCATCACTGTTTGCTTTATGTCTCATAGCAACAGAAAAGTGCAAGCAAGTGCCACAGGTAGAGGTGGTTTGTAAACAAACAATTTGCCTCTTAATTTCTTGGGAAAATATGTCATATTCACATGTATAGTGTTGTAATATTTTTGTCCTTCCAAATGTGCATAGTTAAATATGTGATAAACAAACCGATAGCTGAAATACAGAGCCAGATTCTACTCTTGTTACATTAGTGTAAACTTGCAATTAAGTTTAGGTCTTTACAGCTAAATCTGGATTTACATTGATGTCAGTAACCAGGATATCGCCTACAGACTGAGGGACAGATCCCCAGCCTGTATCAACAGCCACATCTCCATTGGCTTCAGTGCCACTACTAATTTACAGCAGCTGAGAATCTGTCCCTCTATAGTATAGTATTTCTAGGCTTTTTAGATTCCTAATACAAAGAACATTTGCTCTAATATACAGCCAACTACCCAAGTTCCAAATAAGGTCAAAGTAATGGGAAAGTTACCAAAAGTAAGTACAACTTCTTGAGAAGTCTGCATGAAACGAATGGGCCTGCTATTCTTATTAAAGGTAGCAGGATTTAGCCAAATATTAGTTCTCTACAGGCATGTCTATACGAGATGTTTACTGTAGAGTAGACTAATTAGCTATTATTCCCTGATTAGGCCACAGGAAACTAATAAACTCCCCAGCAGGGTAGTACGTGTAAATAAAAGTATTATCCCAATATCCTGCTGTAGACTTTTTTACTCCACAGCACCTCACATGTACTGACATGGCTGGCTGGGGAATGGGGGTGCTTCAATGCAGGGGCTGCCTGCTGGTTAGCCCTGTGCTGGAGCACCCTTGTGAACCTGCCAGCCCCTCCACAGCATGTTGAGCCAGGTTGGGGCACTCCAGGCTGGCAGGCTGACCTCCCGGCCCACCTGCCTACTGGTATGTGTAGACGTGCTCTCTTAGGAGTTCTTGTGGATACAATTATCTAAGTCTGAGGTCCAGATCCTAAACTTGCATAACTGGAAACAGTAAACAAAAGCCAGTACGACCAAACTGGCATGAATTTGCACGATTCACCACTCTGTCAAAGTCAATGGAGCTGCTCCTGTTTACATCAAAAGAGAATATAGGCAGATATTTTGATGCTATAAATTGTGTCTTCTTTAGAAATTTTTCTTAGAAACATATGGTTTAATAAGTTACTTAGTGTATTGTTCATACATGTAACTTCCTTTGATTAGTAAGCATTTCCCATTTACTTGAAAATGTAAATGTAATGGCCCTAAATTATATGTATTTATGCAAGAATAAAACATGCCATTTAGGTAAATATTGCTAGAAATCAGCTACAGAAACCTATCTTATTTTTATTAATTGTTCTATGGCTTGCATTGGCACTTTAGCAAAGATAAGCTGGTTACATCATTATTTTTTCTTTCTGTAGGTACGAGAAATTTTAAAGCGCACAAGTGCAAAGGCCAAAAACAGTATGGGTAAGAAAGAATTACCCATTTGCAGGAAATATTTAAAGAATATTATTTTAACCCTTTAGCATAATGAATATATGTGTAATGGACCATAAGCAGGTACCAAAGCTTTTTGCATTAATTAGAGAAAGAACTAAGTACGTTTACTTAAAAATAAAATCATCCCTAAAATTACAGTACTGTACTTTACTTACATGAAGTGAACAATGATGGGAAGGAAAAGTAATTTAAAGACTCATCAGCTGGAGAGAAAAAGATGAGTGTGTTGAACAATTATGTTTTTTTATTGTGTATATAAATCTATCTAGAGCAGAAATGGCTATAGTGCAGTCACAAGTGTGGTTGACTTATACCCCAAGAAACAACTTTGATCTCCATGGAGTTACATAATGCATTAGTTAAGCACACAAATTTGTCCAGGAGGTTTGTTTTTCTGGTTCGTTAGCCTTAAAAAAAATCCTTTGCACAATAAAGATTATGGGGTTGGTTGTTGTTCTTTCACATGCAAGGCATTTACTCCAGAGTTAACTCCATTGGTTTTCATGGGCTGCAATGACTTCAGTGGAATTACTGTTTATAAGTCTGTAAATTGATGAAAAACTGGCTCTCATTCTTCTCTTGTGTAAGCGAACACCACAGTGTGCACAGTGGCCCACAGTGCAGACAGGCAATAGGAGTTTGCCTTTAACCTTTGGTGTGCATTTTATTTGGCAAACCTTTGTAAACATTGCTTTAATTTTTTATATAACTTTATTTTGTAAATTAACATAGGTGAGGAGTCCTATATTTCATTTTAAAAAAAATGTTAGATTTTTCTTGCCATTATGAGTAACATCAAAAAATAAAACCCATTAGTGTAGATTTTTAGGTTTGTTTCAATCATTGTAAGTTTAAAAATGATTTCTGTAAATTGCATAGCTAATTATATGACTTAAATATCTGTTCTGTTTGATACTAGATAGCACATATGGTTAGAAACATGTCATTTTATTTTTAGAGTTCTGGGTGTTTAAATTTTGTCCTGATCACAAGAAAGAGAGATTTTGCCTGAATTAACCCACCTCCAAAAAGTATTACACAGGTCATCAACAAGGGGAATGTCTGCTCAGCAGAGACTATAGGGTGTGATGGAAAAAGTAGCATCATTTGGGACTGAGGAACTTTGGAAGAAGTATATGTTCAAGTTTGCATTTCACAAGAAGGCATAGTAAAGCTGCTTGCTATGTTTTCTTTATGTTCATGCATTCATTTATGATGATTGTATGCAAAACTCCTTAAATATCAATGGCCCATATAGCCTTGCTGAGTTTGGCATTCTGCTGTTCTACAGTGCACTGGCACAGGGTGCTATAAGCACAAAGCTTTCACAAGTTGACCAGAATTCATATTCTAATTATGGTGTTCCAAGTAAGAGAGAGATGTTGCAGGAAGTATGGCTGATGATCAGGGATTTGGGTTTTCTGTTCACCATGGAAAAATGTGGATTTTCTCCTTTAAAGGGGAAAATATGGGAAACACCGCATTTTCCCTTGCAGGCTGGCAGGGTTCCAGCCTGCAAGGGGCTGCTTGGGGTTGGGGGGAGCAGGATGCAGGGGGTGCCATGTACATATGCATGTCACAGCCAGGCAGTGTGGAGAGAAGCTCCTGCAGCTCTCTGTAGACGAGTCTGTGTGGTGGTGGTGGGGGGGCAGACTGAGGCCCCCACAATAAGGGAGGGAGGGAGGGGGCTAGGACTGGGGCTGGGGGTGCTGCCCAGCTGGGGCAGTGCATGGGACCCAGGGTGGGACTGTGTGGCCCAGAAGGGGGAACTGGTCTGGTGGCAGTGACAGCACTGAGCCTCCCCACCCTCCCATGCTAGGTCACTCCTGCTGGGCTGAGGATGCCCCTGGGGTGAGGGCAACAGGGCAGGGAGCCCTAAACTTGCATTAGGCAGCCCACATCCTCCCCCACTTTCCATGGGCTCTGCTCCCAGTCATGCCACCCATGGGGGAAGAAGTGGGGAGAGCTGGTCTCCATGCCCTGCTCTGGCCACAACAGCCACCACCTCCCACAGTCTGGCAGCTGAGGCTAAGGTGATATTGAGGGTGAGGGGCAGGGGACTATGGGGCCCGGCCCTGGTCCCATAGCCTTGGAAGCTGGGGGCCCCCTCCGGCAGGGCTGGGGGTGAGAGAGGGCTGAGGGTCACGAGTGAGGGACACCAACAGGGCTGAGGGGGTGGGGGGCTGTGGGTTGGGAGTGAGGGGCACCAGCAGGGGCAGGGGACTGTAGATTGGTAGTGATGGGTACTGGTAGGGCTGGAGAGGCTGTGGCTTAGGAGTGAGGGGCAAGGGCAGGGCACTGGCATATCAGGGCTGCTTAGCACCTCAAAGGAGCAGGGCGGGGTAAGGACGACCATAGGTGGACCCATGTCACGGTGGGTGATGGAGGCAGGGAGAGCTCTGATTTTTCCATGATAAAAAAACCCCAAATCAAATGCCAGAATATATAGGTATTTAGAATTTATTTTATTACAATGATTGAGGCACTGGTAGGCTTCCAAATGGCTTTAAAATGATAAATATATGAATAAAACATTGTTCAACTCATATGCATAATGGCATTTCATTTTAATCACAGAACAATGTGAATTTGGGGTTTTAATCAGAGAATTCTAGCAGTTTTATCACAGAATTTGCTATTTTTAAACTGAAAAAACCAGGATCCCTGTGATGATTTATTTGGTGCCCCCCTTCTCCCTGAATCGATAACAAGGGAAGGGTTAGGGTTAGGAAGCATTGTGCTTCTTACAGTATTATGTGTAAAACTGTATTTGTGTGCCACCTGAGGCTCTTTAAAGAGCCCCTTTCCCTCCTGCTACTGTAAACCTTGTAGTCTAGAGCCAGTAGAGACTTGTGCCTGTCCTTTCTCTTCTACCTATTTCTGCCCCACATATTGACATCACCATAGCAATGTTCATCCAACATCTTGTTTGCAAAATTCCTCACCCCACTGAGTTTGAAACCCATACACACTCAGGGCATTTATACACATAGATTTTCATCTCATGATGCGTCAGAGATCCACTGCTTTGGAGTATAGTTGATTAATCGAGTCTGCTTCACATGCAAGCTGATGCGTACTATGCTGTGCCATGTGCAGTTGTCTAAGCATCAGCACACAGAAAATGGCGGTGGTGCCCTTTTGAATGAAAGCACCTCTGATGTGTTTTAGTTCATAAGTGCGCCGCTGCCATTTTCTCAGCGCTGGTGCGAATTTCACTACTTACACTTCTGGAAGTGTTGCAGCACTGGGCGCTGCAGCACTTGCATGTATAAAAATGCTCTCAGTACTGATCACATAGTGCTGATGTAGTATATTCACAGGGATATGTATTACCAAAGAAGCAACTTTTTCTAGTTTCCAGGTGGATTAAAAATTAGGCCTTTTATCATTAAGTTGGGCAAATGATGGTTTTTTGGTTTGCTGACTGAAGTGAAAAAGTGGAATAAAAGACCAATGTGGATCAAAATGAAATGAAAATAGGATTTTCCACTAAAATTAAAAAAAAACTTTGGGGTCAACGCAAGCATTCAGCTAACCCCAAAACAAAATGTTTTATTTGGTTTGGGGGTTAGAAAACCTTTTCTTTACCTTTTTTCTCCTTTTATTTTTGGTTAACTTTTAATAAAGTTATTTACTGTATTTACTTGAATACAAGATGAGGTTTTTCCTCCCAATCAGCATGGGGAAAAAATCCCCTTGTCTTATGATGACATATAAGGAAACTTCATTAAATACATTGTCTATTGTTAAACTGGTGCCAAAAGCAACATGTGTTTAGTGATGGAAAACAATTATAAAATTGATTAAATGCAGCAAACAGTGAGCATGACTATAAAACACATGACCCATATGGGTTAAATATGCAGATGGGAAACTTTTTTTTAAAAATTAAAATAAAAATCTTCCCCTGACTACATTAAAAAGAAAACAGTTTACATCACTTTACATAAAACATTTCCCCAGACTAACATAGAATCTCCTTGTTTACATCCTTTGACATCCACTTTTTTATCCATCTATGTGCTGCTTATCCTCTGGCATCATTTAACTCTTGTTTACATACAGCCTCAACAAGGTACATCCCCCTCCCCTGATTTATCCATTTTAAGCCATCAGCCTTGCCTTTTATTTCACATCATATTAACATTTCTATACCGGTTCTCCTATAATCACCCAACCGGCTTCCCTTACCACCTGTGTCTCTTCAAATGGCAGTACATGTCATGCTTTCATCAGTTTCCTCCCAACCCATTCTGTTATTTCCCCTATCCCTCCTCTTCCCACTCAGAATTTTCCCAGAAAAGCATTCCCTAGTTTTTTTTAATCTCTATTTGTTCATCGCACTTGAAACGAACACAATAAGTTACTGCAGCTCATCTAAATAAAATGTATGCTAGTGCAGTCCCTCTGAGCACTGACTGTCTTTCTTTCAAGTCATGGTGAGCCACTACATTGAATATATTTTTACTTCACTCCCACAGCTAAGCTGCACCTTTATTTCCCATTTCCAATTATTCCTGTTTCTTCTCCAGCCTTAAATATCTGTCAAACATCACCAAAAGGGGCCCATACAGTTTACCTAGAATCCCTCTATTGCCCCCTCTCTCAGCCTGTCAATATATGATTAGTGATTCCATGAGGAAGAGGGAAGGCCAGGTTGCCCTATACTTCATCTGCATATTAATTTTTGGAACATCCCTGGACTTATGATGAGAACACTCAGTTCCAGTCATGAGTTTGGGGCTAATTAGCACATGGATCCTTTGTGGGTGGTATCTAGAGTACACCCATATTGAGCAGTGCTGTGCTATGGGGTGACCATGGCTCGAAACACTGTTAACTCTCTGGGGTCCAGCCCAATTCATTATATATAGTAAAACATGAGCCTTTTGGCTTTGGTCTAATATAACGTATAGTTTGTACTACATATAGATAGGTACAAAAGTGCTGCTTAAAAGTGTGTT